AGAGCCAGCCTGCTGAGGCCAGATGGGGGCCACCGCCAGACCCTCCCGTGGCAAATGAGGACCAGAGCGTGGAGCCTGCCCCAGAATCAGAGCAGGGCTGGACAGAGACTGATTCCCCCTCTTCCTGGCTTTTTAAAAAGCGCGCCCCGGGCCGGTTCTTGGTGGAGCAGCCCCTCTGGTTAGGATTCACCCCTGGATTTGGAGAAAACAGTCCAATTTGCTCAGCAGGTAGAGTAATGAGGGGCCACTGGTGAGTGGGCCACGAGATTGTCGTAACCAAGACGCTGTCCCGGGACAGGGTAGTTTTGCTAAATGTGCTTGTGTACGGCTGGGGGGGGCAATAGTTTTTGATAGGGAGCCACTGCAAGATTTTGGTAACTGGTCAAGGGCTGCACTTTTCTATGGAGGAAGTGCGAGGTCTGGGATGGAGGCTGGGTGCAGAAGGGAGCTCGGGGCAGGGGACTGGGGTGCAGGAGAGGATGTGGGGAGTTAGAAGGACTTTGGATGAAGCAGGGGGATTGTGAACTGGGGCAGAGGATTGGGGTACAGAGCCCGGGAGGTGATAAGGTTGCAGGAGAGGATTCTGGACTGGGGGAGGGGCATAAGAGGGGCTGGGAGGCAGTTGGGTGTGGGAGGGGGTTGGTGCCAGAGGCAGGCTCTGGCCGGGAGGTGCTGGTCTATGCAGCTTGCAACCAGCAGCACTCTCAGACAAGATTCCTTGCCTGCCAGAAGCTCCTGGCTGGCTGTTCCATTTGGCTTTCTGTGCGGGGGGGGTGGGGAGGGAAACCAACCAATGGGAGCTAAAAAATTACGCTTCACTGTCCCCGTCCTCAGCAAAATCTCTCAGCTCCCATTGGCCAGTTTCCAGCCAATAGGAGCTAAGAGATTTTGCTGGGTGGCAGGGGCAGAGCACGAAGCCTCCCTCCTCCTCTCTGCAGTGCAGAGAGCCACAGGGAGCAGCTAGCTGCTTTGAGCAGTGCTGCTCTGTGCCGCAGGGGCAGGCAGGGCTATGAATGTGGCCCATAGGCCAGATCTTACCCGCCCATGGCATACAGGGTGTGCCAGTTGAACCGTAGCAGCGTGGTGATTGGCTGCAGAGGGAGCGCACGGCTCTCCCAGTCAATGTTGTATGCAGTCAGCACGCACCTCACTTCACAAGTGCGTGTCACTTTAGTAATACTGGTAGGAAAAAGCCTACACAGACAGAAACCAGCAGAGTCTGGGCAACTCTGTGGATGGACAACAGGAAACAAAATGTCTTGTGAGCCGCACTTTGAACCCCGCTGGGCCGCATGAGGCTTTCAGGCCGCAGGTCGCCCACCTCTGAGTTAGAGGGAACTATTAGACACCTGAGCAGATCGGACGGGTTCCATCCTGCAGGGGGCAGTGAAGTAGCACACGCCAGGGCAAATACATTTTACCCACAGCTCATCTGGGGAATATGGAGTTTAGTTCAGGTTATCCCAGTAGGTTCCCTGCAGTGCTAAGGAAGATGAGACTCACATGCAGAATCGGTTTCCTTCCATCCCCCTCTCTCCAAAACAACCAAGAGGTGCTGAGGATGAGAGTGGGCAAGGGACAGAACTTAGGGAAACCGCTAACGAGGAGAAATACAGGTCAGAGCTGGGTGGTTCGTGGATTTCAGTTTGCTGCTGTTCCAAACAAGCATTTTATAAGTCATTTCAAGTCAAATGAAATGTTTTGCTCAACCCAGAACAAAATGTTTTGTGTATTTTGTCTTTTTAATATTTGTTTTAAAGAAAATCGAAGGGCACTTTGAAAAAAGTTTGCTTTGAGCTAACCCCCCTCCCCGGAAATATTTCAGTTTAAAATGTCAAAATAAAAAAGTCGACTTTTTTTATTGGGGAGGGAGGTTTCCCCTCCCAAAACAAATATTGTGATGAAAGGACTGTGGTTCTCAGTCTGTGTGATGTGCTGAACAACATTTAGCTGAAAAATGTTGCCCCGTTCTAATAGAGACCAGAAAAGCTGCCCCACCTGAATCCTGCCATTGCAGAGAGCAGCCTCTTGCCTCCACTTCAGCCATGCAGGTATAGAGACCGGAACGATCAGCAGCACAGTAGAGCAAATGACCTGCCCTAAAGTTGGGAAAGTAAAAGCAAGACTGGGAATGAAATCACTGGCCAGGAAAGGAATGGAGGGAAGAGAGGAAAGCAAGTTCCAAAGGCCGAGGCAGTGAAGTGCTCAGGAACTGCACCTCCTCCAAGAGCATAAGAACAAAAGAACGGCCGTACTGGGTCAGACCAATGGTCCATCCAGCCCAGGATCCTGTCTGCCGACAGTGACCAATGCCAGATGCCCCAGAGGGAGGGAACACAACAGATAATCTTCACATGTCACCTACCTCCAGAGAAACAGAGGCCAGGGATACCATTCCTACCCAGTGGATAACAACCATTGATGGACCTAAACTCCATGAATCTAGCCTGTTAAAGTTCTAGCCTTCACCACATCCTCTGGCAAGGAGTTCCACAGGTTGACTGTGTGCTCAGTGAAGAAAAACTTCCTTTTGTTTGCTTTAAACCTCCTGCCTATGAATTTCATTTGGTGACCCCTAGTTCTTATATTGTGGGAATACGTAAATAACTTTTCCTTATTTACTTTTTTTTGGATGCATGGGGGTGTGGGTTCCAATCTCTCCTGCCCTGGCAGAAGTAAACCAGCTTCCCCATGTCATGGCTCCTTCCCCACTCTGACATGATAAATGCAGAAGTGGGGGCCAACAAGTGTACCCCAAAGCCTTCTCTACCAGGCTTTGGTATAAAACTTCCCCCAAAATCTTAAAAACCTAGATCTTGGGAATAAAACTTCCGCTGCCACCACCCAAATGTTGATAAAGAAATCAGGGGAAAGATCATTTGGGAAATTTCACCCCTAAAATAAAAATCAAGGCACACAATTAACCACTGCCAGGTTAATAAAAAGAAAAGAAAGAACTTTTATTATTACAACAATATTCCTGTTGTAAGCAGAATGACTAGATGGGAAGGTAACAAAATACACTCATGGAGAAACTCCATGGGCCTAGAACTTAGTTACAAAGAAAAGCCAAAACATCTTTTAAGCAGTGCCAGATCTCAGATCCCATCCCCAACCCTTAAAACAATAAAACCTAACGAAACTACCTAAACTTTACCCTACTTACAGAAAATGAAGAATGGTGTCTTGGAGAGAGAGAGAGAGACATGCTTGTTCCTCTCTGTAGCTGCAGAGAACTCCCCAGAGAGACAAAAGGGAGAAAGGAAAAACCCAAATTCCTTTGTCCCAGTTTGAAAGTCCCACCTACATTCCTACTGGTCACTCCACCTGGCTAGGTGTAGTTAACCCCTTAATCCCCAGGCTGCTGGCTAACCCTCATAATCATGACACCCCCTACCCCTGGCCCATGCAGAATTGGATCCAAGCCCTGATGTTCCCAAACCTGGCCCCTCCTGTCACCATTCAAGTGTTAGATGTTCCTGTGGGGGTGAGAAGACCGTGCTGATTGGGGAGCGTTTCATACCCACTTTGCACACCGGTAAGCAATAAGGTAAGGGCGTGGAGAATCAAGTCCTCAGTGTAAAACCTTCCAGCACTTTTTTGCCCTGGGCCCTTCTTTGCTTGCCCTCATTCTCACCCTGTCAGTGAGCTGGCTTTGGAGAGACAGCAAAACTGAGGCATCATCCAGAGAGCCACGGCAGACCTGTGCCTGTTAACTCCAAGTCCTGGTCCCAGGCCTTCAGCTCACAGCCATCCCCCCTCCCACACACTGTCCTGCCACTGGAGACAAAGCCTGAGATGTGGGTGAGGTTTTGAGGGGCAGTCCCAGTGTCCGCATGCCTGAGTGGCCTTTTTAAGTACAATTCTCCCTGGAAGAATTACCCTCCTCTTGCAGTTCACCCTGCCAGAGGGCCAGGCTGCTAGCCATTGTCATGTCTCATGATGAGCCTTTGTAGACAGAGGCTGGCGGGATGGCGGTGCACAAGGAATTAGAATTGGATTGAGCAGGCAGGACAGAGGCTAGACCAGCGATGGGCAACCTCCAGTCCATGGTCCATATGTGGCCCATCAGGGTCTATGTGCAGCCCATGCAACCCCCGCCTCTGCCCCCACCTTCTGCGCCCCTAGCGTGCTGGAGGCCCTGCACTTACTAACTCCTCCCCCTTCCCCCCCAGAACTTCTGGAGTGCTGTGAATCACCTGATTTGCGGTATTCAAGCTCTGAGAGGGAGGGGGAGGAGCGAGGATGGGGCACGAATCAGCTGATTCACAGAGCTCTGAAATGCTGGAAGGGAGGGGAGGAGAAGGGAAAGGCTGGGAGGCGTTATGGGGAGGGGTAGAGTGGAGGCGGGGCCTGGAGGGGAGGGGAGGGGAGAATGGAGCAGCCCCTGGCAAATGAGAAGTGACATACTTAAAGCCAGAGCAGGTGGGGGGGGGGGGCGCTGATTGCGCACAACATTGTGAGAGCCGCATGTGCTCGCTGCTTCATTATGTCCCTTTCACCAGCCGTTTAATTTGCCCCTGATCGTGGGGTTGCAAAGGGCAGGAGAAAGGAGGAAGATCAAGGGCAATGTATTTAATTATATTCTTGGGGTCATGGCCAGTGCACATGCCCAATTTCAATCTGTGGTCCACTGAGATGAGGGAAGGCCACCCATGCGGCCCGCTCATGTGACTCTTGGTTGGCAATTGCTGGGCTAGAGTGATGACGTGCCTGGGGTCTGTATTGTGACATCAGAGGACGAATAGGGTTGAGAACTGATGGTGCTCACCCAACAGACCCGTCCTGGAAGCCCCTGTGTCTGCTCTGCCCATTCCCCTGGCTGCCAAGCTGCTAGCTTTTCTGGAACAGGCTCTGCCTGCGCTGTGAATTAATACCCATTCGCACTTCCTCCCGCTCACATGTATTCCCTGCCAGGCTGGCAGATCTCTGGAAAGCAGGTCTGCAGGGCGTGAGCCTCTGGGAGCAGGCAGGAAATGTTCACAGCACACGTGTCATGGGGAAGAACAGGGAGAGAGGGCTGGAGTAAAACGCAAGAAGGATGGATGGTCTGATGGGTCCGTTGGCAGTTCAGTGCCTCCCCTCCTCACCCCTCCACCTACACACAACTGCTTCCCCTGGGCCTGCAGGCTCTGGGAGTATGAGGACGGTGGCTTGCTAGGTCCCAGACTGCTTCTGGAGAGAGTAGCTCCTGTTGCTTTGGAGAATCTCCTCCCGCTAGGCCAGGGACGGGGGAGACCAGTGCTGGAGAAAGAAGCATCCAGTGTCTTCAGTCCGGGAAGGGCGGGTGGAATCCCGCACTCGGCCCCCGAACCCCCCTGCAGGGAGATCCTCCACAAACCGAAGTGCGTCTCGACCACGTTTCAATGGGGTCGCCAGGGCTGACTTGGACTTGCTGGGGCCCAGGGCTGAAGTCCAAGCCTCTCCACCCAAAAGCCAAAGCACGTGGGCTTCACCCTGGGTGGCAGAGCTCAGGTTACAGGGTCCCTGCCAGGGGCTGAAGCTTTGGCGCATCAGCTCCCCCCCACCCCCCCGCACAAACAGTGGGGCTTGGGATATAACCCACACAACCCAGGCAGTAGGGCGTGGCCGGGCTCAGGCTTCCGTCCCCCCCTCCTGGGCTCATATAGTAATGTTTGTTGGCAGCAGGGGGCAGGGGGCAGTCAAATGCTGCCATAGTCTGTCATGGTAGCGGGTAGGCTCCCCCTTCCAGCCCCAGAGGTAGAGGGAGCTGTAACGGGAAGGAATGAGCTACAGCTACTCAGAGAGGCTGAGGAGATGATGGTTGGGGCATTTGGCGGAGGAAGGTGCCAATGAGGAGGCTGCAGGGGGCAGAAGCATGGTGCATAGTCCTGGCAGGATTCTGCAGGGCAGGCCGGTGTCACCCGACGAGGGAACTTCCTGCTTCTTTCTTCCCTTCCCCGCAATGGTGCATTTAAATTCGCTGCTCCCGCAGAACTCAGGCAGCCAGATGGCTGGAGATGGGAGCCAGGCACTCCGCAGTGGCTATTAATAATTCAGTCCCAGTTTGCACCCTCTAGTGCGAGTGCAGGGACGCTCAAACTGCCATCTCAATCAATCCTGTCGCTTCCAGGCAGAACCTGAGACTGGAGCATTTTTGTAGGCAGGCAAAAAAGCCTTCCAATGGGTGTCTGGCGTATCGATTCTAAGCAGGTACCGCTGGCATCAGAAAGCTCTTTGCTTGCTGCAGTGCTGCTCCTTCATTAGCAGGGTCCTTGGACAATCGGAGACCCTCTGGAGAGGGTTACGTCATGTACACGGCCGTCCCCCTTCTCTCTTCGGCTGAGGGATCAATTTACCAGCTCCGAGCGGGGACTCTTGCTTTGCAATTTTTCATGCTTGTAGGATGGTGCATTGAAGGCCAGATTCTGCTCTCATGTATGCTGGTGTGAATACAGAGTAGCCCCACTGAAATCAGTAGGGTAAGGATTTCTCTATATGGGAAGATTGACCAGAATGTCTATTTCAGAGCAAAAAGTTGTTGGTATAGGTGCTTTATAAAGCCAGTCTTCCCTGCATTTAACACCTCATTTTTACATCAAAAGCTAAATATGGGACACTTCAAGCCCACTTAATTAGCCTCATTAGCACCCGTCCTACAATTGACAGGTACCCCCCCTTTTTCTGTTACAAAATACTATTATTATTCCTCTATTATTCTTCTCCATATATTTTTGTTAGCCTCAAAGGTGACACAGGACTATTCATTCATAGAATCACAGAACACTAGAACTGGAAGGGATCTCGAGAGGTCATCAAGTCCAGTCCCCTGCCCTCATGGCAGGACCAAGCACCGTCTAGAACAAGGTTTCCCAACCTATGGGTTGGGACCCAAATATGGGTCGCCATTACATTTCAAAAGGGTCACCAAGTGTCTCTCCAGGTGGCTCTGCCCCCCCTCCTCCCACTGTTTTTGAATTGCCTTGGGTCACTAAGTCTTCCTGAATTGTCAAAATGGGTCCCAATCTGGAAAAGGTCGGGAACCACTGATCTAGGTCATCCCTGGTAGATGTCTGTCTAACTTGCGCTTAAATATCTCCAGTGATGGAAATTCCACAACCTCCCTAGGCAACTTATTCCAGTGTTTAACCACCCTGGCGGTTAGGAAGTTGTTTCTAATGTCCAATCTAAACCTCCCTTGCTGCTGTTTAAGCCCATTGCTTCTTGTCCCATCATCAGAGGCCAAGAACAATTTTCTCCCCTCCTCCCTGTGACACCCTTTTAGATACCTGAAAACTGCTATCATGTCCTCTCTGAGTCTTCTCTTTTCCAAATTAAACAAGCCCAATTCCTTCAGCCTTCCCTCATAGCTTATGTTTTCTAGACCTTTCATCATTTTTGGTTGCTCTTCTCTGGACCGTCTCCAGTTTCTTCACATCTTTCTTGAAATGTGGTGCCCAGAACTGAACACAATACTCCAACTGAGGCCTAACCAGCGCAGAGTAGAGCGGAAGAATGACTCCTCGTGTCTTGTTCGCAACACTCCTGTGAATGCCTCCCAGAATCATGTTCGCTTTTTTTTCAAAAGTGTCACACTGTTGACTCATACTTAGCTTGTGATCCACTGTGACCCCTAGATTCTTTTCAGCAGG